CGCCCCACAAAACCTACCCCCTCATGGGCCAAGAGAACTGGGCTTTTCTCAGAGTCCTGGGTGCTTTATTTCCATTTTCTAAATCACTTCTTAGCCAGGTGCCCACTTGGGGCTTTGAAAGCACAGTCTTGAGATACAGAAGTGACAGAGGTGATGGAGCGGGGCAGGTGGCAGTCAAGGGAACATGTGTAGAGCATTATGAAGGCACTGAGAAGCTGGCAGGAGCCCCACTATAGAGCCAGACGCCACGCCATTCTGCACAGCCTCCCAGAAAAACCACCTGTTGGCCGGAAAGGCCAACTGTTTAATGTGCCTAGATGGAATCTCGCAAGCAGGTGATTTAAAAAGCACGATTGAAAACAGAAAGCAAAGCTGATTTTCCCACAGACTTTTTGTCAGCAACGTAGTTCTAATTCCCCTTTGCTTTGTTTTATAAGATAGTACGAAAAGAGGAACCCACCCACCCACCCCACACACACACATGCAAATGCTGTTCTGGAGACTAGAAAGAGTATGAATTCTCAGTGTTTAAGGTGACCAAGGTCACACAGATGAGAAGAGAAATTTGAAAGTAGGAATCTGAGTGGATACGCACAGATCTGTGTTTATAGCAGCATCATGCACAGGAGCCAACAATAGATGGATGCAAACCACATGCTCTCCAACAGACGGGAGGGCTCAAAACGTAACGCACACAGTGGAATATTATTTAGTCTTTTGCAACAAAGGAATATCCACTGGGAGCCACAGCACGGACGATGCTGTGTGAAGTAAGCCAGTCACAAAGGAACAACTGCCCCTTATGTGAGGTCGAGAGAGTAGTCAGAGCTGTCAAGACAGAAAGGAGAATGGGATGGCAGAGGGTATGGGGGAAGGGGAAAGAGAAACTTGTGTTTGCTGGAGTAAAAGTTTCTGTTTGGTGCACACGCCTTTAATCCCAGCACTCAGGAGGCAGAGGCAGGCAGATCTCTGAGTTCGAGGCCAGCCTGGTCTACAGAGCAAGTTCCAGGACCAGGGCTACTCAGAAAAACCCTGTCTCAAAAAAACAAACAAACCAAACAACAACAACAACAACAAAAAGAGCTTTAGTGTGATGGTGACACATTTCTGGAATGATAGGGGGATGGCCAACAACATCAGTGACCTACGTTCATGACGCTGTGCACTTCAGAATGGCCAGGGTGGTAAATTCACCTTGCACAGTTCAAAAAAAGCAGTAGTGTCAAGGTCACATTCTGAAGATTTGTTATATGTGTGTACGTGTGTGCCTGAGTGGACTTATACACACCACATGCTTGCAGACATACACAGAGGCCAGAAGCGGGCATCAAAAGCCCTAGTACTGAAATGACGGGAAGTTGTGAGCCACATGGGTACGGGGAACAGAACCCAGGCTGTCTGCAAGAGCAGCCAGTACTCTTAACCACTGACACCACTCTAGACCCCGCCCCACACCCACCCAGGCTTCATGTTGCATGAATCCTCTCAGCCTCACTTGAGTGCCCATTTCTTGTGATTCTTGCAGGCAAGGAAAGCCATGCATGGAGAAACAGGACTGGTGAGCTGGTTCAGGCTGGGCTCACATGCCAGTCTTCTCAGTAAAAGCAAAAGGAAGCAAGTGCACTCGAGTCTTTAACTAGTTCCCTCCCAAACTTTAGGATGCAAAAGCCTGTTCTCCTCTGTCTAAGCTTAGACCCATCACCCTAGCCTGTGGCTGGAAATACATTCGCAAACATTAACCACAGTGTTCTCAGAGCAGCGGGCACAGTCTGTAGCAAACGTGACCTTGAACCCACAGACCTGGAGAAAATCCTGAGCCCTCCTTCTTTTTGAACCCTCCCACTGCAGCCTGAGAAACTGGCTAACCACAGGGGAGCATCCTTCAGGTGCCAAAAAAAAAAAAAAAGCAGAGAGCAGGAGTTTAAATCCTAACTCTGCCTTGTACTTCATTATAGAACCTTGAACTCAAGCGCACTTCTAAAGCTTTTAAGATCTGACTTCAAATGATGGGAATATCTTCCTCCCTGGGTATCCATGAAGGATGCATTCCGGGCCCCTCTTAGAGGTCAAAATTCCTTACCACTCAAGCGCCTTACACAGAATGACAATGCATTTCCCCAAAACCTCCCACACACTTTTAATTACCTCTAGAGAATTTAGATCGCTTTGTACGACGTGTAGCTAGAAGCTGCGCTGTGTTGCTTAGGGTATAAACACATGAAAAATACCCTGTATATGTTTCATACAGGTACAAATGGATTGTTTGAGGGGGTATATTTTGTTTTGCTTTCAAATAGTTTGGTTCACAGTTGGTTGAGTCCTTAAAGCCTATGGGTAACATGCCATTTCATAGCACAGAGTTCAAAACAGGTGGAGGCTGGGGAAGGGGCACTGTGTTCTCTACTAGGCCCCTCCCTGCTCTCCTCTTTCAGAGAGTCCCACTGAGCATGCCGGGTGGGGGCAGAATGCAGTTGACACTTGCGGGTATTTTTAATTGCCCCTAGCAAGTATAATATTCTGCACGTGACTTTGGAAGGATTTAATGAGAACAGATATTGGTTGCATCTGGCAGCATCCACAATTTTTGTTTTGTTTTGTTTTGTTTCGATGCCAGGACCTGGGTCCTCATACATGCTAGCCCAAGAGCCCTGACACTGACCTAAGTCCTAAACCTTTTTTTATATCTTTATTTTAAGGTAGAGTCTCCCAAGTTGCCCAGGCTAGCCTTGAACTTGAAACCTTCCTGTCTCAGTCTACCAAGGAGATGGGATTATAGGCCTGTGCTTGTGATTTATTTAAATTATTTATTCTTACATGATATCATTATTAGATTTTCAGGTCTCTAAACAAAAGACTTTGAGTGAAGCCTCCTAGTCTCTATAATCCTGCTTGCATCATTTCTAATCTCTGAATTCAAAACCACATATGTACAAGACAGCACGTACTCAGCCATTATGGACAGTATAGTCACTCACAGGTGATTTTCTTTTCAGTGCTTAGAATTGAACACAGGACTTAATGCAAGCCAAGCAAGCATGTGTTCTCCCACTGAACTATGTCCCAAGTCCCTACAAGTGATGAATTTTTAATATTTATCTTACTTTTAAATTATGTCGGGGAGGTATGTGCACATAACTGCAGGTCCCCACAGGAGCGAGAAGAAGACATCGGCTCCTCTGTAGCTGGAGATACAGGCAGGTATGAGCCACCTGACACAGATGCTAGGGACCCAACTTGGGTCCTCTACAGTGAGCTCTTTTAACTGTGTGTCAGTGAGACAAGGACTTCCATACCAGCCATCAATCACCACATCAAGGTGACCTCAGCAAAGGGACCTAACTTTCCTGGGCCTGCGTTCCTCATCTATTAAAGAAAAAGAGGAGAGAGAAGGGGGGTTGTAAACTTTCTTAACTGCTGAGCCATCTCTCCAACCCCACGTTGCTATTTTTTGAACACTGTCTAGGAATAAGGGGGTGGGCCATGATGGTGGGCTGTTGGAGGCTGACGTTGGGGGGAAACAATAAGGCTCAGACTTACTTCACGGGGTGTGGTAGCCCCCAAGCTTGCTGTCTTGGCCCACCGCTTTCCAAGCAGCTTGAAGACTGGCCGCTAGTCATCAGTCTTGGGACATCCTCCATGTGGAGTGAGGCAAGCACCGTGGCTTGTCGGTTTATTCCTCTGGAGCCATAACTCTGTCTTTGCACCCTTGGGTGGCATGGAAGTAAACTAAACTAAGAGTAGAGTGGCCAGAACGCAAGGAGTGGCTCTTGCCTGCCTTTGAATCCAGGGCTGCGCTCAGGCCTCAGGCCATGAGAATCCTGAACAACCTGGGGAAGTTACTTAGAGTCTTGGTAACGAACACAGGTAGCAGGACAGCGAGACAAGGACTTCCATACTAGCTATCACACTCCATCAGGTGAGCTCAGTTCGTAAGCTTCGTTTTCCTCATCTATTAAGTAGAAAGGGGGAGGCGGGGACCAGAACTTGGAAATGTTAGCTGAAGAAAAGCACACCAAACAAAACTTAACATATAGCAGCTGCTTAGTAAACGACGTTGAATAAGATCAAAGGGTATAATCTTTTTAACAGAGGAAAGGACCAAAGTTTAGCAAAGCCAAGGTGCTGGCTAGTTTCATGTCAGCTTGACACAAGTTAGAGCTATCTGAAAGGAGGGAACCTCAATTGAGATAATACCTTATAAGATCTAGCGGTGGGGCATTTTCTTAATTAGTGATTGTGAGGGATGCAGCCCATTGTGGTGGTGCTACCCCTGGGCTGGGGGCACTCAGTTCTATAAGAAAGCAGGCTTTATGAGTCATGAAGAGCAAGCCAGCAAGCAGCACCCCTCCACAACCTCTGCTCGGCGCCTGCCTCCAGGCTCCTGCCCTGGCTTCCTTTGATGATGAACTGTCATGTGGAAGAGTACACCAAATAAACCCTTTCCTCCCCAAGTTGCTTTGCTCATGGAGTTCCGTCACAGCCATAGCAAGCCTAACAAAGACGACCAAATAGCCTGTCTAAAGCTGAGATAGAGCAGTGAGCAGAGGCAGGGTTCAAAATCAACCTTTAATACACGAATCCACGATTCCACACAACCTGAGACCATTCTGTCCCACAGGTATATATGACAACGCTCATCAATGTTATATGATCTGCATTCCTACCCTTCACATGCAAGGCAAAAAAAGTGATCAAAAGAGATGGGTCCTTCCTAAATAATCAGAATCTGGCAGAAAAGACAGACAAGTTACACATCACAATGAGCCTAGGAAAGATTCCCCCACCTCCATGTGAGCAAATAAAAATAAATACAAGAACTTAGCCAGCCGTGGTAGGAGAGGCTATGGAGACACACTATCACTTTCAGCTATGGCATGTTTCCTATGTTAGTTATTTTTTAAGTATACCTTGTCCAGTGTATAAATTACTATTTGCCGTACAGTTTAACAAACATATGATAAAGTGTTTTTGGATCTTGACAGTATTATTACCAACAGCAGAGAACATTCCCAACTACTGGACATTTTTATATCTACTCTTTGAGTGTTTCGCAGCTCTCGCGGGTCTTTGCGCGTTTTTAGGTTTCCGTCATGTCATCAATTCTGCATGATGTGCACGACTCCGGCGCTGTGCCCGTGCGGACTTCAGCTTTCGCTTCAGACCGAATCCGGCCCGGTTGCAGTTCCAGTTTCAAGAACCTCAGCTGAAAACACAAATTCGAATTGCTGCAGCCTGTGAGTTTCAATGGTTTCTCTTTTTTTCCCTTCTCCGTTTGGTTATAAAATACATACAGTCCTCTGTTTCTGCCCCCAAAGCCATACTTGATCTGGGGTGTTGATTCCCTCACCCCTCAGAGACCATTCAACTTTCATCTCAGTTCAGGGCTACCCCACAGTCGTTCAACTTTTAGAATACTCTTTTCCTGGTAGGAATAGCATCAACCTTTCCTGATGAAAGAGGTGTTTCTGATCTGGAACGTGGTTCACATGTTCCTTTTCTTTTAGGCTTGGTGAGTGGCATTTGCCAGCTGGTGTCCGAACTTTTACTTTCCCTTTTTTCTGTCCTGAAAAGAACTGAAGGCCCCGTCTCTGGTGACCTGAGCTCATGGTTGGCAGTCCGTTTTCTATCAGCGAAATACTATCCCAAAGAATCAAAGCAAAACCAGCTGACTTCGTCAAAAGTCGGAGCCAAGGATCTGGAAACCACATTGTTTTTCTGCTTTCATTGACTGGACAATGGCACTAGCTCATTTTTTTTTTTCTCCTTTCTGGAGATTGATGCCACTTGGGCTATGGCAGATTTTCAATATTTGTTCCAGGATGTGGCACTTCCTGGCCACATCTTCCTCCTCCTCCCCAGGATTGTCTAGTGATGGATGCCTCACCTCTTCTAATAACTACATCAGCAGATCGTCCTCCAGACCTTTCCCAGCAAACCCTCTGTCTAGCATACAAGTTCTACCCTGTCTGCACACATCAATGGCTCTTTTGTCTTCTGGGTTTTTTTTTCTTAATTCAGCCAAGGACTCTAGCACTCTTCAAAGGTCAAATGTGAAGATCTGCTGTCTTACTCAGACAGAAAGTCTAACCAAGTGCCTATGCTTCCCTTTTCTATATCAAAGCAAAAGACCCCCCAATTTTGAGTAGGGGGGGTCATTGTTTTATTGTCTTGGCTCAACCCCTAAAATGTTTGACCACCTTTGGACTTTTTCCTGAGTTTCCTTTCTGAGACTCAGGTACTCCTTGTCCAGTCTTTCCATTTTATTTTCTTACAAGCTAAGCTAAACTACACCGGTTAGAAACACCTTCTGGGACTTAGTTTAGTGTGTCTCCTCTCTCCTGAGGATTGTGCATCTCTCTCCCTGCGACTGTATTACAATTCTATTGAGACATATATAATTAACAAATGAAAATATGTCTATTTTAAATACAAAATGTGATGCTGTGATAACTGATCAGTCCTCTGTATTCATGGGTTCCACCCTGACATCAGTAACCAACCACACTGTCCCTGTGAAGCTGCAGTAACCAGCCTGTGGCTTCTGATCATGTGACCTAGTTAACTCCCCACTCTAGGTTACAGATTCCGCACTTTACTAACATTTGGAATGGGATTCTTATAATATGGAAACAGGCTCCGGTTGCACACATTTTGTGCAAATACCCCTTGCCTGTGCAGTTGCGTTTTGCTAAGTGGCTTCATGTTGGAATCCCCACACACTTATCTGAGGTGACCTTGGTCAGTCACTGTCTAAAGCCTGTCTAGTCTCACAGCTGAAGTATGAAGACCACCCCTTGAGGCCAGTTAGCTGCAGGGGCTAGGGAGAGAGACTGTGCCAACTTCATGCCGGAAAGGCTTCAGGAGAGTCAGCTCTCAATCTCGGCACCATCTCTCTCCTTCCTACTCAGCCATAACTCGGCCTGCTCGGGGCTTGTGTCCTGCTCAGCCACCTTCGCTTACACGTATGTCTGTTCCGGAGGAAAGAAATTCACACCTCATCCTCCTGTGCAGACATTCCTGGAGATATGTTGTGTATACCAGTCCTCCTGGGTTCCTGTTAGAGCATGGGCTCTGCTTTACTTCAGTCAGGGTATAAGGCATAGCCGTGAGGAGGTGTCCAGCACACAGCCTTCCTGTCCGGGCAACTCCAGACACTACTCTGTGCCTTCTGACCTTAACTCTTTGGTCTTGGCCTACTTGTCTCAGATATGACCCAGAACTAACCCCTGTAGACCAGCTAAAGAGTGGGTTTGCCCCCAGGCCCATGCCTACCTTCAGGCTGTCTTTATTCCCAAGGACCTTAAATAGTTTGAACACGGAAAAGGCTTCCCAGGCAGTGGAATGCACTCAGGAAGTAGAGAGGACATCGGTAAAGGATGGAAGCAGAAGTCATAGAGCAGCAGGACCCAGGCAAGGCTTATAGCGAGATTCAGGTTTTGGACAGTGATGAACTAACCAAGGCCCCGGACAAAGAAGAACTCACAGCAAGGGGAAAGCAGAGCCCAAGGCAGCGAGCAGACCTACCCCTGACAAAAGCAGCTAGTGAAGGGGAAAGAACTGAGTGCCAAGGCAGTTTTCAGTCCTGGGCCATCATCTGTAACATCCCTGCCTCTCTTGCTTTCCTCGTAGCCTTCCCATCACCCATGGCAACCTGCCTTCAGCTCTGCCCTTCATCACCTCACACAGTCAAACGAACTCAGTCAGTATCCTCTTTAGGGACTAGCATCCATCCCCGAGACACAAGCTAGCCACAGCTGCACCTGAGTCACATCTATGGCTGTCCACAGAACATGCCCCTGACCTTCGTCATCATTTTCAAATACCAGCCACAGAGCGGAATACCTGGCTGCAGCCACCCCAGCCTCTATAGCTTCACTGTGAAGTTTTCCCCACTGGGTATTTTCCTCATCTAGGAGCTCACACAGTCGTGGGAACATCTCTGTGTGGCCAGAGAGGTCTACGATGATCAAGGGAACCTGGAGGACTCAGGGTTTGAATAACAGTGCTGCCCACCAATGAACAGTGTTGGGTCTCTGATTACCTGCTCCCTACCCACAGACTGAAAGGCTTCATACATGTCTTGACAGCCTCCACCCTTCAGCTCTGAAACCCGAAGGCTCATGCCTTGCCCCTCATGTCCACGAGGCCAGGTTCCCTGTCCTGCTGTGTCAAACCCTTCTCTATCCCATGACGATCATGCTGGCCCCATCAGAAAATCTTGTTTCTCCCAGTTCCTCTCTTTTTCCTCACCTTTGCGGAAGTTGGTGTCTTCCCTCCAAAATTCTAGTTCCCTTCAGCCAACACCAAAACCCAGAGAGCCAGCAACGTCTTCCACCCCATGGATAACACAGCGGAACGGGAGGAGATGGGGTGAAATTGCCGATGTGTAGCATGTGTATCAAATGGCCCCCTTTCCTCTCTGTTAACCTCTGATGTCTCCACTAACTGCACTTGGGTGAGCAGCTGGTACCCAGTGTTAGGAATTTTTCCTAATGCGAGCTCTCTACCATGCAAAATTCCCAATCAAGACAAGTCAAAACAAGCCAAATTAAGAAATATCCAGGTTTAATGGGATTCCTGCGCTCTCGGGAGGCCCCGAGGGGGAACCAGGAGGCCGCAAACCACCGGGAAAAGAGACCACGTGTTCTTCTTTTGGGGGTTCATTTAAATACTCTGTGGGAGTTGTCCTGCCTCCCTCCCCCCAGGTAGGGGTCAGGACCTGGCATCCTGGGATTTGGAGCCCAGACCAATACAACTCTCAGGCCCGGGATAGATGTGAGGGGCTGGGGTCTAAGCTCCCAACTTAATACCCACTCAGGCTACTGTTGTCCTCACTTTCCTTCCCGTAACCCTTGCTCAGCTATTAGGTTCCTCCAGGTCAGCATTAGTATGAGCGTCACCTAGGAACTTGTGAGAGATACAAATTCTCATAGTTCATCTGAGATCTTCCAAACTGGAATTGGGGAGTGGAGTCCACTTGGATGATGCAAACACAGGCTTGGGAGTCACTGTCCTACACTATCAAACTGCTCGTGTTTCTGACTGCAGACTCCCAGTTGCTTCCTGGGCTTCTACTGGGTCAGGGATATGACTTCAGGGATGAGAGGGGCCTGCTCAGGCTGCTTCATCTGATTCTAACCACTGCTCAGCCTCCTTCTCCTGCCCTGCTTCCCTAAGTCTCCACTCCCCAGCCCCTTATTTCCAAGAGTAACAACGTCTTCTTCCTCCAGGGAAAGCTATTGGAGGCTGGGGTAGATTCTTTTTGGAATAGGAGCTCCAGGCATCATCTCTTACTGGCAATGTGGACCCAGGAAAGTCGGTTAGACGGACAATAGATAAATAATATCTGACTCTGGGCTCGAAAGATCAGCCAGCACTGCATTCCAGCTCCGCCCTAGATACTCACTGATAGCGGCTTGGACACAACTTTCCACCTGCGTGCAAAGCCTCCGCTTGATTTGGTCTCCTCTTTCCAGACATCAGCCCACTCTGTGTTCCTTGCCAGTTCCACCCGCAGTGGGTGTTCTCTGCCACAGCATGAATGTATTCCACAATGAGACACCTATTCTCGCCTCGCTCAGAAGTTTCTCTGATGCAGAACTATCCCCACTCAGAACCATCACTGCCTCAGGACCAGCTGCGTTCAGGAGCCTGAAGGGGAAACTCTGGCAAAAAAAAACAAGGTGGTTTATGCTGAAGAGCTGCTGGGTAAACAATGGAGGGTTCTTCAAGGAACACTGCCTTAGTCACAAAACAATAGATCAAAGGGAGCCTTGGTCAGCCAAGGGGGTGCTAACAAAGGAGAAAGAGCTGCTGCTGTTGCAGCTGGGAAACACCTGTCATGGAAGGACCGGGGGCCTGAAGAGGTCCTTTTCCTTCTGTGCTCTATGAAGGAAGTTCAGCGCGGCACTTGAGGCAGACTGGACCCGAGAAGATGCACAGAGGTCTTAAGGAAGCAGAGAGGAGAGCGCCAGGGACTGGATCCTGCAGGTGAACGAAAGAATAAGGAAGTTATGCTTGCTAAAGCTGAAGACCACGTGGAAAATTACAGCCCTGTGTATTCTCCCCCAGCTCCCCGACCCCCACTCACCCCGATAGCCTGCAGGTGGGGTCAAGTCCCAGAAACTAGACTTGAACGTCTATTGCTGACTGTTCACCCTCAGGTTCTCTCACCAGATGCTTTCAGTACGTTTGTCAAGCTGGGAAGAGCCATGAGTCAGCCCCTAACCAGGGAGAGGGAGGGAGGAGAACCTGACTGCCAGGTGATGCCTGTGATTTTACAAGAGAAAGTCTGCAGCACACACCGTGGACCACATGGGTCCACCTGCGGGGCCAGGGGATAAGGTCAAGTCTATGGCCCAGAAGCTCGAAGGAGTGAACAAACTGGAGCGCCCAGGAATCCTGCTTTGCATGGGTCCTGTTGCCGTCTTCCTCGTTCCCCGCGCGGCTCGCTTTACTGAGATTAAGAAATCAACAACCACTGTTTTTAAATTTTCCTGACAGAAGTACAAAATGATCCCACTAGGCAGTATGCAAATTTCTTTTTTCCAGCCCGGCAAAAGCCTGGGGTGTTCTCACATCACTCAGGAGGGTGGAAATTGAATAAGGTGGCCTGGCTGTACTCATTTACATCAGCAGTTAGACCACTAGCAAAATTAAAGGGTTTTTTTCTAGTGTGATGACCTAGAATTCCTCTTTGGTTCACGCCTCCCTCCCTTCCTCTAAGGTCATGCTGGGTTTTCTTCCTTCCTGTGTCCATCTTTCTGATATTACCAGCTCATACCAAGCTCACATCACTGTGCCTCTATTTCCCTGGTCTGCCTAATCTCCCTGACCCTGATCCTGCTCCTCTCCTGGAGTTTAGAGACGCCGGGTTGCTCAACAGATGGAATCTTCCCGTAGCACTCCAGCCCAGCCCGGCAACAGAGCGGCTTTTCCCCACCTTCTGTTCGTCCGTCATCGCTCACCTCAGCCAGTGTCTCTCCTTCCAATATCCGCCTCCTGGGCCACACAGCTAGCCTCTTCTCAAGGCTTCACCCCTCTGCACCTCCCTGGGCTGTTTCTGAGTCACAGGACAGGAAATCTACAACCTGACTTAACAGCGGGGCCGAAGAACTCAGTTTCCAACAGAAACATGTTAAACCTTGACGGTCTGGTCCACAAACACAGCTCGCGACAGTTCATTTAACCAACTTGAGTTTATTGAGAACCACCTGGGGGATAGGGAAGCACACCCTGGGTGTGTCTGCAATGGGTTTCCAGAAACAATTAGATCACCAGTGTGCTGACCTAATCAATGGATTCATAATCTTTTGATGAATTCATATCACAATATCATTATTGGGAAGTGGTGAAAGCTAGGAGGTAAGGCCTTCTAAAGGAAGTGGGTCAACGAGGGTGTGTTGTTGGGGATGTCTCACCCTGATTCCTTTACTCTGCTTCCTGTT